CTTTAGTGTTTATATTTAATTGTGTGTATAATATTACATGTAATTTATTTTGACTTTAGTGTTTATATTTAATTATGTGTATGATATTATATGTAATTTATTTTGATTTTATTGTTTATCTAATTATCTGTATGATATTATATAAAATAGTTATTTTGATTTTAGTGTGTATTTAATTGTGTGTATGATATTATATGTAATTTATTTTGATTTTATTGTTTATCTAATTTTCTGTATGATATTATATATATAATTTATACTGATTTTAGTGTGTATTTAGTTGTGTGTTTGATATTATATGTAATTTATTTTGATTTTAGTGTGTATTTAAGTGTGTGTATGATACTATATATAATTTAATTTGATCGTAGTTTATATTTAATTGTGTGTATGATATTATATATAATTTATTTTGATTTTAGTGTGTATTTAAGTGTGTATGATATTATGGGTAATTTGTTTTAATTTTACTGTTTATCTAATTTTCTGTATGATATATAAAATAGTTATTTTGATTATAGTGTGTAATTAATTGTGTGTATCATGTTATATATAATTTATTTTGATTTTAGTGTTTATTTAATTGTATGTATGATATTATATATAATGTATTTTAATTTTAGTGTGTATTTAATCGTGTGTATGATATATGTAATTTATTTTTATTTTAGTGTTTATCTAATTGTCTTTATGATATTATATATAATATATTTTGAATCTGGTATGTATTTAATTGTGTGTATGATATCATATATAGTTTCTTTTGATTTTTGTATGTATTTAATTGTGTGTATGATTTTATATATCATTTATTTTGATTTCAGAGTGTATATTTAATTGTGTGTATGATACTATATGTAATTTATTTTGACTTTATTGTTTATCTAATTGTCTTTATGATATTATATATAATATATTATATATTATATAAAATAGTTATTTTGAATTTGGTATGTATTTAATTGTGTGCATGATATATATAATTCATTTTGATTTTAGTGTTTATTTAATTGCCTCTATGATATTATTATATGTAATAGGTATTTTGATTTTAGTGTGTATGATATATATATAATTTATTTTGATTTTAGTGTGTATGATATTTTATATAATGTATTTTGATTTTATTGTTTATATTTAATTGTGTGTATAATATTATATGTAATTTATTTTGTTTTAGTGTTTATATTTAAGTGTGTGTATGATATTATGTGTATTTTATTTTCATTTTATTGTTTATCTAATTGTCTGTATGATAATATATAAAATAGTTATTTTGATTTTAGTTTGTATTTAATTGTGTGTATCATGTTATATATGATTTATTTTGATTTTAGTGTGTATTTAAGTGTGTGTACAATATTATATATAATTTATTTTGATTTGACTGTTTGTCTAATATTCTGTATGATATATAAGATAGTTATTTTGATTTTAGTGTATTTAATTGTGTGTATGATATATATAATTTAATTTTTATTTTAGTGTTTATCTAATTGTATCAATGATATTATATAATAGTTATTTTGATTTTAGTGTTTATTTAATTGTGTGTATGATATTATTTATGATTTATTTTGATTTTAGTGTGTATTTAAGTGTGTGTATGATATTATATGTAATTTATTTTGATTTTAGTGTATTTTATTGTGTGTATCATGTTATATATAATTTATTTTGATTTTAGTGTGTATTTAATTGTGTGTATGATATATATAATCTATTTTTATTTTAGTGTTTATCTAATTGTATAAATGATATATAATAGTTATGTTGATTTTTGTGTGTATGATATATATGATTTATTTTGATTTTAGTGTGTATTTAGGTGTGTGTATGCTATTATATGTAATGTATTTTGATTTTAGTGTGTATCTAATTGTATGATATTATATAAAATAGTTATTTTGATTTTAGTGTGTATTTAATTGTGTGTATGATATTATATATAATGTATTTTGATTTTAGTGTGTATTTAATTGTGTATGATATTATATGTAATTTATTTTGATTTTAGTGTGTATTTAATTGTGTATGATATATATATAAATTTATTCTGATTTTATTGTGTATTTAATTGTGTGTATGGTATTATATATGATTTATTTTGACTTTATTGTTTATCTAATTGTCTGTATGATATCATATAAAATAGTTATTTTGATTTTGGTATGTATTTTATGTATGATATTATATAAAATAGTTATTTTGAATTTGGTATGTATTTAATTGTGTGTTTGATATATATAGTTTCTTTTGATTTTTGTCTGTATTTAATTGTGTGTATGATATTATATATAATGTATTTTGATTTTAGTGTGTATTTAATTGTGTATGATATTATATGTAATTTATTTTGATTTTAGTGTGTATTTAATTGTGT